GAGTCTGATTATAATCCCAGTGAATCACTAGTCCAGCTCCCAGTCCAGTCAGTCCAGTCCAGTCCAGCCTGGAGACTCTCAGACTGCTCTGTCAGCGTCAGTGAGTCTGATTATAATCCCAGTGAATCACTAATCCAGCTCCCAGTCCAGTCCAGCCTGGGATGGTTCTTGTCCGTAGACTTGACTGACACAGCACAGCCCTCAGATGAGCTCAGGCGCGCTGCAGGATAAGAGTGTAAATCTGCAACACAGGGAAGCAAAGGTCAGGAACGCAGCAGGGAGAGTCTCGGCAGCACTGTCCGCGCAGTGAGTTTAGGAGCTGTGCCAATGAAACTGTGATGAATTGACTAAGCGTTTAATCCCATCAGGTCTCCAAGGGACAGAGACTCGAGTCACGTAGAGAGAGAGACTGGGTTCAGTCTGTCTTTCTGTCTGTCCGTCCATCTCTGAGAAAGAAAGCACACAGTGGCCTCTTGCTCGCTCGCTCTCAGTCAGCCCGTCGCCAAGGTAACAAAAAGGAACTGCATTTTGTGTGGAGCTCTGCTGTGCAGAGGTACTGTGCTCAAAGAAACTGTGCCCGTTGTGTGCTGACGTGTCCTAGAGACTGGGCCTATTTTGTGCGGGACCTTGCTCAAGACTGGCCCGAAGCAGGTATATCTGAATGTGGTCAGGCTGTCCCAGCTGTCCGATCTGTTCTCCGAACTGTTCTCAAAGCTGTGCTCCAACTGGTCTCAAAACAAAACCCAAAACGACAAAAAAGAAAGAAAAAAAAAACAGTTCTCCAAAAAGTGGCCTCAGCGTTCAGTTTTGAGTTCTCTGAGCCTGAAGCCCATCTCGGAGCTTCCCCAGACTTCCCAGAACTGTGCGGAAAGGGTTGCGCACAGGCTGTCCTCCGTGTTGGGGCCCAGAGTGCTCTGGAGCCGGTGCTCGGAATGATCCCAGAAAGCTCTTGCCCAGAGGGATTTCAGAAATCGCTCCCAAATTCCTAAAAAAACAAACAAACAAAAAAAAAAAGACTGTGCTCAAAATGGCCTCGAGTCTTTGCAAGGGGTTGTGCTCAAGTCTTACTGAACTTTTCCTCCGACCTGGGCCCAAACTGTTCTGGAATTGTGTGCTCTGAGTGGGGCCCAGTGTTCTGAAAATGGTCACCAGTTCATAGCCCAGGGGTGCGAACAGTGCGATTACAGTCCATGGGGTCACAATGGTACCAGACCGTGAATCTGTGTTAGTCTGTTCTGCTGCTCTGACATACGCATGCTCTTCTTGTTGCTGTTTCTCTGAAAGCTGCCTCTGTCTGGGGGCTCAGGAAACGGGGGGACCCTCAGGTTACAGGTTCAGTCTGTTCTGGTCATTGATGCCTCTGCTCTTCTCACACAGATACCTTCAGCCTCCAGGTCTGTCTCATTCATCTACTTTCACGCTCTCGCTGGAGAATGCCCTGTGTTTTGCAGAGATTTTTTGATAAAACTGAACTACTGTGAAAAAAGAATACCAAAGATTGGGGTGTTTTCATCTGAATTCCTTTAAAGGCAGATTTCTTTACAGTGCTGTTACAAATCCTAACTCTATAAGGGCTATGTCTCTAGCTGTAACACTGACACGGGTCACAGCGTGACTCAGGAAGTTGTCAAGGGCACGCCTCAGTAACAGTCACTGCTGTTGCACACTCTCGGGTGTTGAGAGCCAGGCGATGTGTGGAGAGCAGTTTGCCCTGGGAAGAAACTCTTGAA